TTTTTTTTTAAAAGTATATAATAATAATTTTTTAAATTAATAAAAAAGATATTTTAGTTAAGATACCCACTAACTATATGAATCCGATTATAAATAATAATTTTCATATTAAATTTTAGATTCATATATATAGTATAAACAAAATTTAAAAAATAGTTAAAATTCACTATGATAAACCAAAACCATAAAAACCTCTATGTTCCCTCTCTTCAGCCTCCACCTTAGTTCATGCTCAATTACACTACAAAAGGAAAACCGACCCTCTCCTCCCTCCGCAAGAAAACTAAATTGACAAAGAAAAAGAACCCCCATAAGGGAAAAGATGATGCAAGTGATCAAAGTTCAACGAGGACATGGTGTTCTAAAAATACCCGTATATCATGTTTTCTTAGGTGACGAAAAGCTACCTAAATTACTATATGTATTTGCCATGAATGCATAGATATTCACAAGAAACAAGTAGAGAGTAAGGATTGAGATGGTATATGTATAGAGCTAGTTGCACCTGAAAAAAACCCCATTCTTTGCAAGCAAGGTCAAGCTCTGCTAACTCAGAATCCATTGACTCTTTAGAGACCAAGCCTTCCATGTCGATAACCGGAATCTCAGACATCGAACCGGCATCGGCAACAATTGGTTTCTCCAGGTCAGGACGTAAGTACCTCTGTGGAACGGTGGCGATGGACTTTTTGGCCAACTCTTGAACAGAAGGCACAAGCAAGGAACTTCCGTACTTGACAGCTTTGGGATCCATGTCAATTTTCGGCCAGAAAAAAAGGATAAGCACTTCTCCCTTGTCTCAAGCTGTTGAGGATTGTAGAGCAAAGGTTTGGATAGCAACCAATCCTATGTATCTAGTTATGAAAACTGAGACCTGGCCAACACCGAATAATTCAAAATAGAAGGTTTTAGAACAACCATGTTGTCAAACCCAAAACCATTTGCTGTCATTTTATTAGGTAAAAAAGTTTAGCCTCAACTAGCCATGCAATTGTTGACGGTAACGTCTACCTACCATGGGAGAATCAGGCATCGACGCCACACAACATTTTTGAAAGAAGAATTCATCGCTGACCTTCTATCCTTAGCTAATTGACTAGTACTTAGCTTAGACTAGAAACCAATAGATTAGTTTTTGGTGTCATCGATGCCTCAGCCATATTTATTTATAGGTATGTAACTAGTTACCATTTGATGTGGCAAATGATTACAAGAGTATACAAACTGTGAGATTAGACCTGTTTACAGTTCGGGTCGGGTTCAATTGACACTTTTAAAATCAAGGTCTTAATTCGAATTATTCATGGTACAAATCATTTATCGTTAAAATATTAAAATATAATTTTAAATTAATATATTATTAATATTTTAAGTATTGCAAAATTAAAATTAAATAAAAATAATTATTTAATAATAAATTAATCTTGCGGTCTCTATCTTGACATAGAAAATCCTAGTTGGAACTTAAAAAATTAAACTTGGTTACCTTCTAGTCAAAATTTATAGTGAATTTTGAAAAACCTAAAAATCTGATTTGACTTTTATTATGGATATATTCAAAATGATAAAATACAATATCTATATCAAAACCTCTACGAAATCTAAATTCAAAGTCCTAATCACCTAGCTCAAGTCTACGTTCTCATTTTTTTTTTAGTTAACCATTAATCATAAAAACTTATTGAATTCAAAATAAAAATATAAAAATTTAATTGAAAATAATAAATAATAAATAAAAACTTATTTAAATAGTAATGGTAAATTTAACTTCTATTCTTTTATTTTTCATTCTAGTTTCTTACACGCATTTTTCAAAGCATGATGCAGTCCCACTGGTCTAAGCTTTCATATATATGATCAAAGGATGGCAAGTCTATCCATGTTCTATTCTCATGGCAGGCATCAAGTTAAGATTTCCCACGGAGTTTACTAGCAAATAGGTTCAACTTGTTACATGTTCATGTTTATCTCTTTCAATTTATAAACTAGATTATTCAAGAACTAGCTAGATCCAAATTAATTTAAGATTATGGTGTTATATATAGCAAAACCCCAATATATATGAGAAATTAATGAGGTTGATTAAGCTCTCATCATAATTGAGGGATTCCACGTTGTCAACAAGCTCATAAATTCCACTCCCATCATCTTAGATTTGAACTTGAGACTTTCAAAATAGAGTTTTAAACTCAAATTGATAGGATATCTCCTCGAGAATGTTAGTATTATTTGGTTCTATATTCTGATGGAATCTCTTTATTTTATTAAACCCAAGGTTAATTTGTAGCATACAAGCTGTAAGGAATATATAAAGCTAGTGGATTTTATGGTGCAATTTATTTAAGTAGGAGTGATACCCAAAACTAACCCAAACTCAAACTAATTATTTTAAACAAAAAAAAAATTATTAAAAGTCTTATCCAAACTCATTTCAAATTCGAGCATAAGATATCTAAACTCTATGTTATCGAGTTGGCATACTTGTATAAAGCTAACCCATTGACATTACTATTACTTACACTCCATTTGATTGATACTTTTATTATTTATTTATTATTTTTTTAAAAAAATTACACAAATAATAAAAAGTAAATAACAAAAATATGAACCGAACAAATTCTATTTGCAAGTTTGTGTGGGCCTGGCTCAGAACTAAACCCAGTTAAGACCCAAAAAGAGATTGCCCCAACTTTAAAAAGGCCCAACCTATGTTACCTAACGAAGATCCAAACAAGACCAACCCGGCCCACAAAAGCTTTTCCTCTGAAAACAGAGGCAGAATTTTGCTGCGAAATCCCTCTTATTCTGTGCAAAACTAGTTTACTCTCTCAACTGGGTCAC